TATATATATATATATATCAAAATAAAATTTCCCAAAACTAAATAAACCTTCATCTTGCATGTAAATGTGGTTTGTGTTTTTCTCACCTGTCGGCTGAGCCTGCAGCTATCTTACTGCCATCAGTAGACCAGGAGCACCTCAGCAAATTCTGAAAGACAGGAACAGATGTTAGAAAGTGCATTAGCAACATGACACAGCCAGTCTACACGTGAGCTACTGTTTCAGTAATAAGAGGAAAGATTAACGTCTTTATTAGAAAGGACAGCACAGTGATGGTGGGAGAGGCAGGAGAGGATAAAAGGTGATATCATGCAACCGTGGCCGACAACAGGCATAAACACCGCCAGCAGGATTGCAGCTGTTAGTCGCCTAAGCACAAAGTTAGACTCACTATCAGTTCACAAGATGAATGTACTGTTTATTGCATGTCAGAAAGTGAAAAGTTTTGATGCGTTTTCAGGAAAAGAAAATCTGGCACAGTGACTAGATTCTGCTAGGTGGCAAACATAATTTCTGCCTTCCAAATGTATCCAATCCCTCACCCTGGATGTTTCCAACAATGGAAAGCAATATCAGGGCATTAGGTTCGAATACACCCTGGACTACAAAGCGGGTCAGAAAGTTATTTATGTTACCTTTTCAAAGTTGTGAACATTTCCCTGGAAAATCTTCACACACCTCTCCTTGGGTGCGAATGGTCGGACATCCCAAATTCGCACTACACAGAGACACAGAAAGATTCGGCCACATAAATTTCAGTGTTATGACCCGAGAAAGGGCGTTTCTGGTGCTGTAAATATACATACAAGTATCCTACCTGTGTTGTCCATGGAGTTTGAGAGGAGGTATGATCCCTCAGAGCTCAGGCTGAGTCCAGTTACTGAGTCACCGTGGCCGTGCATGTTGTAGATCAGCTTGTTCTGCCTCAGGTCCCACACCTGCGCAACACAAAGGACACCTTTTAACAGGGTTTATACAAAAAGGACACAGTATATAGGCCTATATGTAAAGAGAAAGGAGCAGGCTTGAGCTGTAGCAATATCCAAAGGCAAAGAACCAGTTCTCAAGATTGTGACTAGAGTCTAAAAGGGCCGTCCACACCAAGAACAAGAACTATAACGATGTTAGCATCCACACAATGAATGCTGACACTGCTGCTATGAGAGTTGTTGTCTTTTGTCGTCTTTTATTCATACTTTAGTTAAAAAAAACAAAAGAGGACATCAGTAAGGAAGAAACAGACCTTAGAGACCACATCACTGCCGATTGGTCTCAGGAAAGTTACGTTTTTTTAATGTGTAATTTACTGTTGAATATTACATTAATCATGAATAAAAATGTTCTCACGGGACATGGACACACTACAACACAACATTTCAACTGCAAAATCACAAAGGAGCCTGCAGCGGGGTTTGTGGAAGAAGTAGGTAGCAGAATGAGGACAAAAAACCAGAGCAATTCTTGAACATCATTATAAAAGATGCAAGAGTGAAGAGGATGTACTGTAGCAAAGCATTTACCATTTCATGGGATTAGCAGCACCTGAGGGAGGCATTTATGCAGCACACTGACAATGAGCTAAATACTGCTAAATACCTTATTCTGCTGAAACCCAAATGAAAAATGCAATGTGTTTTACCAACAACAGATACTGGTCCTTGGCTTCATGATGACATAATTTCACAGTAAATGAGACACGCTGAATCCTAAATGACAGAACTCCTCGCCTTCACCAGACATGTGAGCAATGCTTTGTTGCCATATTTAATATTCACAGCAATTCTTATAATCTATAACAAGACTTATAATGATATAATTTGTCTTTAATCGGAATCAGGTTTTAAGTAGGTTTTCACATATAAGGAATTTCCTTTGGTAAGTTGGTGCATAACAATTAAACACAGTAAAATATAAAACAAGATACAAAAAGAGACAATAAAATTAATCTTACTGTCAGACTTTTAAAAAAACTTCATAAATTAGGTACTTTGTGGTAGTTTTGTACTGATTCTGTGTACTTTTAGACCAAATACATTTCCATCTTTTGACAATACAGTTAAATTTGATTTGACTGATTACAGTTTGCAACTATATCGAGGAAAAGAAAAGAAAACTTTTCTGTAGTGGGTGGTCAGATTGGCTGATATATTCCAATCTAAACCACAGATATAATTTCTTGCACCATGCAGGCCATGCTGTCTTCTATCTACCGAATGAATGAATAAAAAGAGCAATGCTAAGAGGAGGATTTTGACCTGGTAAAGATCCCACAGAGTTCCTGCTCTATTCTATTGACCTATTTCCATGACTTTGCCACAGGAGATGTATGGATGGGAATCCAGGACCAATTCCAAACGGTCTGATCCATCTGAATGGTATGTCATCAAGTTTATCAATTCCTGCCCTTGACCAAGGCACTGACTCAGATATGGAGTTGGTCCCCGTGTATTGCTTTTATTCCACAGAGATAATTGATCAGGAATCAATAAGGGAATTAACAAAGAATCGTAAGATTCGATAATGTTATTATATCGATCAAATTGTATCAATTCTCATCCCTAAGTAGATTGCAGACTTTTCATGATCATTATCTGCAAGTGGAGCTGGATGATAAATGGAAAATTACCAGCAACAGCAGTCAGTGAACGACCTTATGTCCCAGGCGCTTTCTAAAATGTTTGAAATTACTATTGCCAATTTATTGTTGGAGATAACTAACAACAATATGTATATGTCTTAACAGCTAATTTGAATTTTTTAAATCATTTTGAAAGAAAATTATATTCCAGGACATTATCCTTTTCAGTGTAACAACTTCCAGGTTTTCTGTACCTTGATGTCATTGTCGATGCCTCCTGACAGGATCTGGTCACTGGTGTCATTGAACGTCACCGCCAGCACCTGGTAGGTGTTCTGGAAAGTGTGGATGGCTCCTTTCTTACGAATGTCCCACAGCTACCACAGTGACAAACACATACAGAAACAAGAACCTGATCAGACCAACAACTGAACTTGAGTACTTGAGAGGAATTAGTAACAGAACATAACAATTCCAAACAAATATCATGCAACATCTACACAGATAATTAAATGATTTAACCCTAATTGGCAGCTAAAATCTCACCTTGACTGTCCCGTCATCGCTGCCGGTGCAGATGAGCTGAGGCCCTCGGCGGGCCGGATAGCAGGTGTTAACGAAGGAGGTGTGGCCCTTCAGGCGCTTGATCCTCTCGCCTGTTTCACTGTCCCACACACCCACAGTCTTGTCTGTGCTCGCCGAAAACAGCATGCTGAAATAATGCACGGCAAGAAAACACAGTTGGTCGACGCTGTTTTAGACACATTTATCAGCCTGCTGGATTAACAAAGGATGACGTCTGTTATGTCTTGTGCTAATTATTTACAGCCAGTGAGTAAACTGGAACAAAGGGAAAAAGTGAGAAATCTCTCCACTGATGACAGAAACTAGAGTAAACAGTCGTGTTTGCTTGGTCATTTGGTTTGGACTGCAGCACTACAGCAGTACCATGTTCATGGTATGAAAATTGACGGTTATCATACCTACGTACATTTGGTTATCTACGGTATTTAATCCTCCCATATTAGTGGTTTATATCAAGTTTCATGTCTCTCAGGACATAATATTTTGTGAAATTATAATAAAGCATTGCTTTAAGGATCATTGTAACTGATAATAAAAATAATAATAATAGTTGTGTAATATCGTTGAAATCTCCCCTACCATTGCAACCCACTGAATCAAGAAGAAACCAGTGCTATATTGTCCATACCTACTTACACTAAATGATTCCCTTGATTTGTTCATTTACAACTTTAAATGTATACTATTCATAATTGAATGTAGTTTATTATTTTGCGTGTCCATCAGAGTATACGTACGACGTTTAACTTCATCACTGATCGTTCATACCTGCCATCTGTGTTGTAGTGCAGCTCCATCACTGCTCCACTGTGGCCCTTCAGAGTGGCAAAATTGTCACAATCTCCATACACATTCCACATCACTGCAGGAAAGAAACACAGTGTAAGTTACTCACGAGTATCTGGGAGTATTAATATGTTTTAATAAGGATGTGTGTGTCAGATTGTCTGCTGTTTGGACTAGTTTAATTGTTAATATCTTACATATGAGCCTGTCAAATCCTGAGGAGGCCAGCGTGGCTCCATTGGGGTGGAACTTGCAGCAGTAGACCTCGCCCTCGTGGCCACACATCAGCATAATGGGAGCCTGCAGGCTGGAGCTGCGTGGGGGACCCTATGGGAGACACACATCAATGGTGAATTATAGTGGCTGTGTGAATTAAATACATAATACTGTAGAACAATGAGAAACTGTTCTTTCAGCATTAAAGCCTGACAGCCCAATATTAGTTTATCCATGGTGTCAGCATATGTGTCAGTAAATAAGTTAGAAATGTTAGTACAGAAATGCCAAAGATATGTTTGAGGTTATTTAGAAACAGTATGACCTGGGGAGAGAATCAATATTAGTGATTAATAATAATAATAATAATAAAATCTATTAGTATAAGTTATCCAGCTGATGTTTATCACAGTGGACGAGATGATAATAAGAAGGCATTATAAAGAATTGCAGGAATTTGACATGGAACTTAAAGTCTCATGTAAAAACCACAGCCCACAAACTATAATTATAACTACAGTAGTTATAGTTAGTTAACTATATAACTTTAAAAATTGAATAAAAGTGTCAACAAAACTGAAATCTATTGCAAGAGTGCTCCATTAGGCTGCATTAGTTTTAGCTTGGTGTACCTAATAAACTGGCAATTGAGTGTATATGACAATAACAAGAGGACCTTCTTTTGGCAGGATTAGTGTCTCACATAAGTTTAAGATGCAGTTGATGTTCACATTAAACTGAAAACTGCATTTTTGGGACTCACAGAAATTACTTAGGGAGAAGTAGAATCGTTAAAATCCCTTCCGATAATAAATCTGAATATCAATGCTTTGTCCAGTCCAATCTGAGCATGGCTGGATGTTAAATTTGATCAGTAATTCCTGCTTTGTCGTTACTGTAATGTTTTTCCTCTCTTCCTGTTTATCCGTTGAGTTGGCGACCTCGTCCCGTTTAAGCAAATATAAACAATTTCTAGTCCAGTTAGTCCACTCAGGAACATGTTGGGTAAATGTGCAGTTGTTAATGACTGTGTATAAGTTTGAGTCGCCACTAACAAGTTGCTGTAAGCACTTTTCTAACAGTTTATATATATATTTATCTCATGTAGTGGAGTACTCTCCGTACCGTGGCCACGAGTTGCTGGGACTGGGCTGCCGCCACCAGCTCCGTCCGCGGCCGCTTCACGGCGGCAGGAACCACCGCCATGTCCGCCACTCTCTTCTTAGGTTCAATCATCCCGAGTTAGATAACAAAAAAAAAACAGCTAAAGTGTTTATTTTAATGCTACGATTTACAAAAATGAATGGACGTGTTTCGTGGAGGGACGTCGAGCGACCAGGCACCAACGAAGAACAGAGGAGGAGCACTTCCGCTGGCTATGAGGCCTGTGATTGGTCGGAGCTGCGACGGCTGCGATGATTGGTTACTCGGCTTGTTGTTAAACTCAGATGACCCGGATGTGAAAAGGACGCAGCTTTGCTAATACGAAAGGTAACAATATCTTTATTTATTTTTTAACATTTTATACTAAATTAAAGCTATATTATGGACTGTTTATAATGTTAGATTTGGGGATTTATACTTCACAGATGGATTAGTTATCCTGTTGATGTGTTTTTTATCGGATTAACCAGCTAGAGGACAGCGCTTTAATATAACCTGCTAACGTTAGCCTCACTGCTACTATTCAGACTAAGCCACTGTTACTTTATCTGTATCTGCAAAGTTAACACAGCCCACTGCACTTTGTTTTTTTATTCTATCCAACAGTTTGTGCACATATTTTACCCTCTGAGTCTTATACAAATAAAGTCTCGGTAAGCAGCTGTATTTTAGAGAGGACTCAGCGAGAAGAATAATCTGTGGAAGAGAGAGATTACACATTAAAAGTGTCAAAAATCAAAGAGGGATCTAACCACTGGACATTTCATATTATTTTGAATTTAACTACATGCTGTTAAGGTGCCTTCAAAGTCACCAGAAGGTCTCTACAGCCATCGTTTTTTAAATCCCAGTTTAACCAAATGTTTTTGCAGTATATATTATACAACAAAACATAGAGACATTGTGGTATTTGACCTATTTAGTCAAAATATTTCTTTAAAGACCTTTTTTTCTTCTTTTTAAACCTTTTTCTGTGAAATATTACTTGCATATATGTTTAATTCATATTAATACACATATAAATCTTAGACCCTTTCATCTTATCCAGGATGTAATTGTTTTGTTGAACAATTTATAAAACTTACAAGTGACTTACATTATTATGTATACATTATAAGACTTTAAGACTAAGTAGTACAGTGTCCCTATTACACTGTTTGAAATATAACCCATATTTAATGCCAGTTCTGCTGGCATTAATCAGGTTCTAAGAGGTTCTGGTGAAACTGCCTTTTTTCAACAATGTTAAAGAAGTTTCTTATAGACCCGTTTATACAAAGTATCTTGATAAGTGCAACATGTACAGAGACTTAAAGTAGACCCCAAACACCTAACTGTTGGATTCATCTACAGGATTTCCAATGGACAAAAACAACCTTAAATCTCAGCATTAAAACAATTCATTGCTTTTCTATTTCATGATACTCCGAATAATAAAAATCTGTCTTATTATCAATCTTCTAGATCCACGCATTGATACCTGTGCTCCACCTCAACTGGGATCATGTCTGACAGTGATGGCCAAGCACCAGAGCCTGCTGGACTGGATGGTCTGCCACCACTGTACAGTATTGCCAAGGGTGAGGTGGTCTCTGTGCAGACCTATGGAGCCTTTGTCAGACTGCCAGGATACAAGAAGGAAGGTTGGTTAAAAAAAAAAAAAGTGAAGAAGAACGAGATATACTTTTTATCTGTGTAGACTTTTAGTGCACACATAACATCAAAGATACAAACTAAGTGAAGTGATGAAATAGTGCAGTAAAAGAAAGCAGAAACACCACAAAATACAAGAGAGTAAGAAGCAGAGATGCAAAGGCTAACATAATAAGAATCAGAAAACCTTATTATGAAAATATTGTAGAGTTTGCATTGGGTGAAACAGTTAAACCTAAAGTAAAATGGACAATTATAAGAAAACCTATAAATTGAGAATTGTGCAGTGGCAGGAAGATGCAAACTCAACACCTGCAGGTAAAAGCACTGAGTCAGAAATGGGACTTTGTCCAGAGCTGAAAACAATGCCGAGTGAGAGCAGAGGAGGCAGGAACCAGGCCTCATTCCCAAACTCTAGTGCATAGTGTTTCCGCAGTCTGTGCCAGTGCTGTCTCAGCCAGAGTTAGGAGAAGAGACAGCAAGGCACCTAAGCTACATGATGCTACGAGAGTATGGTTTCAATATTTCCACAGAATTCCTTCTCTGATTGCAGGAAGAGTTTTAATTATTATCAGTTTGTTTTTAAGTTGCAGGCATTCTGCAATTTGAGGGCACAACACAGTATCTAACAGATGATGTTAGTACACTCGCCATTAAGATTAATTTAGTTTTTTCCAGACACTGACTTCCTAAGAAAATAAATCCAACATAATGTGCATGTCGAGAAAGGGAGTGTAGAACGGGTTTGGGGTAGGGCAGAGTTGTTAAGAAGTGGAATAGATTGATGATATCTCATATCTTTATTTACATATAGATTACGGTGTGATACGAAGCATATGATTTGTTGAGGCACAATTGTTCTTGACCAGCACGTCAAACAGAACATCTCATTTTCACCACCAGAGGGCAGACTGAGCAGAGTTTCCTGGGATAAATTCAGCACCCATTGACATCCTATGAAAATAATAATTAGTTATTTTATTTTTTGTGTCTGAAAGATTTCTAATAAGAAAACAGAATGTTAAAATCTTAAAAATAAAGACCTTTTTTGTGTGTCTAAATCTAAAATATGTATTTATTACATCGATATCTGTACTTTTCTCTGACACATTCAGGCCTGGTACATGTGAGTGAAATGTCAGCCACGCGGGTTGAGAGTGCCTCAGAAATTGTCGATATGGGGGAACAGGTGTGGATTAAAGTCATTGGGAAAGAGGTAACAACACACACACACACAGACTGTCTTGTTTCAGGATGACTGCAACTCTGCCCCCCTGTCTCTCAGATTCGGGATGACAAGGTGAAGTTGTCCTTCTCGATGAAAGCTGTCAATCAGGGAACAGGACGGGACCTGGACCCAAACAATGTTATGGCAGAGTAAGTGCTTACAGTTTTATTTTGTCATATGTCATATATGGTAGACAAGTGTGTGTCATCATGGTCTCTCTGTGATTATAGGCAGGATTCCAGGAGACGTAAGCAGTTTAGAGATCACACAGGCAACAGGATCACACTGGAGGCTGTGCTCAACACAACATGCTCAAAGTGCGGCTGCAAGGGTACAACAACAAAATGAAACAACAGTTACATAAAACACAGACTGCATTTGGTTCCCACAACCTTCTACTGGGACATTTGCTTGAAATCACTATAAATCTGTGCGTCAGTTTTACTAAATCATGACTCTTTTCAGGTCATTTTACAAAGGACTGTTTCTCTGCTCCGGGCTTGCAGTACGCTCTTTTGCCTGAAGAGGGCGATGAAGAGCCACAGCAGCAACAGCAGCAGAGCGCCACAGTTGCACCCCAGCAAGACTCAGACAAAAAGAAGAAGAAAAAGAAGGTCAGTGTGTGGCAGCTAATTTCCTGCGTGGCTCTCACTTCCTTTTTTTTTCCCCAGCTCCATCTTTCTTTTTGTTTCTCTCTGCTGTGCGTCATCTGATGCAAAACCCACTCGTCTGACCATGGATGTCTGTGTTTGCTAACACTGCTTCATGGGAACTGTCAAAAGGGTTGTTTTGAAAGAGTACAATATGGTTTTGTGCTGCTATAATGAGAAATATTTGTTTAGTGATTGTTTTTTTGAAGGTACTGAAACTGCAGTCTGCTTATTCACCCATTTCTGCGTTCTCATTGTTCAAGTTCCTTTTTATTGCCGCACAAAACAAGTTCTCTTGTTATGTTCGTCCTTCAGGAGAAGAAAATGAAGAAGAAGAGGAAGAGGGAGAGGAAGGACTCGGAGAGTGACAGCAGCAGCAGTAGCGAATGCAAATCCAAGAGCAGGCGCCGCGACCACTCTCCTGACAAAGAGGACAAAAAGAAGAAAAAACACAAGAAACATAAATCACATAAACACAGCTGAGACGACTACACGGCTCAGACGCACATCTACAGTCACACACACTGCAGCTATCAGACAGACGCAAAAAGGAGAAGTGGGTAGCAACAGATGGAGTGACAGACTTCCAGCTGTGTATCTTTTAATAACACTTACTAACACTTATTATAGAAACCTTCATCCATTTAAGTTCAGGAATGTTCTTCCTACTATCTCCCCATGTCATTGGAGGCACATTAAAACCTCCTATCAAGCTTTACAAATCTAAATTGGTCAACAATGAAAGTGCTGCAAACAAAAATCAGACGATAAAGCCACACTTGTCCTGAAGTAACCTCTAGCTCCCCCTCAGAGGGAGACGTTTACACATCATAAGTAACCAGATAGGTGTAAGCAATACGGCAGCAAGTTGCTATCCCTCTTCAAATCCAGATATTGTTTACAGCTATCCTGTTTCTTATA